AAGTATCTAAAAGCTGAATTGCAGCCACCTTTTACTCTAGATATTTAAACAAAATTTTAAGGATGAGCACATATTTTTCAAATAAAATCAGGATCCTCCAGAATAATTCTGATGACCCTGGCTCAATCTCACTGACATTGGTTTCCTTCATTGTAGACTTCCTCGTGAATATAGATTCTCTTCCCTTTAGTCTTCTGAAGCTAAAATATACTTGGACCCTGGTTCCTCCTGCATAATCCCGGACATTTCAGTGAGGCTTAAAATTTTACTCTCTTTAAAACATTTTAAGTGAGTTTTTGGGAGGATTATACCAATTCAAGAAACAGATCAAGACTCTCTACTCACTTTTAAATTGCTAACTTCAAACTTGCTGATGAAAAGATGAAACAGCTCCTTGAAAGATTTCCCACTGGGAGATTTTGTTCCATTTACATCTCAATTCAATGAAAGTGTTATAACCAAGCCTGGCTCAAAAACTGAAAATGATAAAAAAAATGCAAAATCATTTCTCTATCATCTGGGTCACCTGACCCTTTGAGAAGCTATGGATGTGTCCTTCCTGCTCTGCTCTCTCCCTGGACTGCTTCAGGGGAGACCAAGCTTGCCTTCAGTGCCTGTTTGCAGCGGCTACTGTCCTCTGTGAGACATTCCCTCGTTCCGTAGCCATGCTGAACTGTCTTCTAGGCTAATCAGTTTCTTTTTCTTTTCACAAAAATAAACAAAATATTAGCTTATTTCAAGGAGGAAAACTGAAAATAAGTCTAGGGCCTTTGTTTTAATCAACATAAGCTATATAATAGAAAATAGAATGTCCCTAAATGTTTTTTGCTATCCTCTTTCTGAAACTTCGGGATCTGCTCTTTCATGCCCATTTCTGTAATGTCCACACAGCCCGAGTAAGTGAGTTCTGGACTTGTCACAGTGATCACTGCTGCTATGCAGACACAGTGTATTCCAAGCTGTTCTATGGAACAGTGGGACTCTGCTCAGGGCTTCCAAGGCCCCTTGCACTCACGCAGAAGGGAGATGCTACCGAAGCCTCCTGCTTCCATTCTAGGGGGCCCTGTGCTGTCTGCCAGGTCTGCTCATGGCTGCACTGCATCACCCTGTCTATGCGAGTAAGGCTGGTTTTCATGTACTTTTCATCCAGTTCTGTTCAAAAGAAGGGCTCTTCATTTCACTGATGAGCTGAACCTTTTCTACTGGGTCCTAAAGCTCCTGTCATCTTTCCTTTCTCTGGTTGTCAGATGACAGATGTTCACTTCCACAGTGATATTGGAGTCATTGAAGACAGACTCTTCCGAGGGTCATTACCCCATGCATCCCACATAGCAGCGAGCCTTATTGTTCCACGTTGCCACCGGTTTATCTCCATGGCAATCACTCTGTGAAGGATCTGATACTCAAACGAGGGTGGGAAAGCAAATGTCTAACAGACTTTTTCTACCAAGTTGCTGCATTTTTATGTTTTCTGTTTTGTTACTGACATCACATTTCAGCACACAATTAGTTTTTGAGATCAAATCATAATGACGCTAAAAATAAAAGTTTTTGCATAGCCAGCACTCCCAACATACATTAGCATGGCTCTTCACCCTTTTTTGGGTCTTGAATTCTTGGAAATGTTGACATAGGTAATTCAGAAAATACACAGCTTAAACATTATTGTTAACGAATACTGTGTACTGCATTTGTAGATACCCAGGATATTCCCAGGTAGATACCCTCTCTAGAACAAGGTCTATCCTGGGAATACTCATCAGTATATATTTTTACAAGTCTAGTTTATTAAAGTATATAGTGTATGCACAGTGAAATGCCTTTTTTGTAGTGCACAGTTCTATGAATTCTGACAAATGTGTACAATTTGTAATTACCAATGCAATACAATTATAAAGTATTTTCATCATCCTCAAGAGTTTCCTGATATCTCTTTGTAGTTAGTACCCTGCTTCACCCTCTGATTTTGGTAAGTGTTACTCAGATTTTGGCTCTTAGAACCTTCCTTTTCCAAAATACAATAGCTATTATGGATATATTTCTGTGAGAGTATTTATTTTCATTTCTTTCATTGAATGCTTAATAGTGGATTCATTGGGATTGCAGTAAGTTTATATTTAACACAAATTTGAAATAACCAAACTGTTTGGGTTCCATAATGATTCTTTGAAAAATTACTGGTACATGTATGCGGTACCTAACAATTTTCTTTATCAAGAGAGTTGGTACATGTACATAACACATTTTAATTCTTCCTTCCCCTTCCTTCTCTTTCCTCTTGCTCCTTGTTTCCCTTCTCATCTGAATATTTTTTTCCCTGTTTCCAAATATCTATCATCCATTTTGGTCTTTCTGTGCTTTTGGCTTTTCACACAAGAAAAACAGTGTGATATTTAAATATGTGTGTCAGATTTATTTCACTTAAAAATATGGTCTCAAGGTGCATCCATTTACCTAAGAATTGCAGAAGTCTGTCCTTCCTCATAAAGATTCTTGAATCTGTGATTTAATATATAAACTAATGAAAATTCCTTTTGCAAAAAACCTTTTTCCAGATTGAACTTTGAGCTTTGCACTGAGCTGTACACCCAGCCTTGTTGTTGCTGTTGTTATCATTATCATTCTTTTCTTTTTTTGATAGGAGAGATCAAAATCATGACCTCATGCTTGCCAGGAAGGTGTTTGTGCTACTGAGCCAAGTTCCCTGTCCCATCATTGATTTTGAGACAGGGTTTCACTAAGTCTCTAAGTTGCCCAAGCTGGGCTTGAACTTGCCTAAGCCAGAGTGGTGGGATTACATGTGTGCGCCTCTATACCCAGCTAGTTTCACAAAATTCTTGACCGTTGTTTCTTCAACAAGTTCTTCTGTCCGATTCTTTTCCTATCTTTTAGTGGATCTCTGATTATGGTGATATTGGAGCACATGCCACGCATATTGTATGACCTTGGTGTATTGCAATTCTTTCCCCCCCTCAGCTTCATTGAAATATAACTGACAAAAATTTTTGTATTGGTGTACAATATGGTGTATAATAAAAGTTATCAGAGTCAAATCAACTAGCACACCCATCACTCAAAAGTGAGTGTGTTTTGTGGGAACATTTAAGAACTCATTTCTTGGCAGTAAATTGTAAGTACGCAATTGACTGTTATTAACTGTAGTTCTTATGTCATATATCAATATCATTTTAATATATGTAAGAGTTGTGTGCATGAATTCTCTCAAGTTCAAAGACCTTTTGGACATGATGGAAAGATATTTTCAAATATTAGAGTGCAAAATGCAATCAAGTGATAAAACTAAATGAGGATTCCAGACTTCTGTGGGTAGATAAAAGATCAGGCTTCTGCTTTCTCTAGGGAATCAGTTTCTGAATATCAGAAATGCAATAGAGTTCCTGTGTAAAAATATCAAATAGTGAGAAATAAGTTACCAATCAATATACAAAATTATAGCACAATTACTGGTGAACTCCAGATAATTTTCTAATCTCTAATTAAAACAGCATAAATAAAATATATACAAGGAAGAAAAATCATATTAAGATGGAAAATATTGCTACCAGGTTATCAGTTAATGTAACTGTTTTCAAAATTGCAGCTTGCCATAATTTTTCATAGTGTTAGCAAAACTGGAAGCATACATCTCGTTTCAAAGCATCCGTATGTGACTCTGATCTTCTAACAACTGTATCTGGAATGAAATTCAAGTGTTTGCAAAAATCATCTGCTAAAAATACCGGATTGGGCTTTGATCAGTATCAACCCTTATGTCTTAAACACTTGCAGTAAAAGACACTGCTGAGCAGGTGGCACCTGTTCCCACCTTTGTAGCAGGAATATTGTGTGAGGATAGCAGAGGTCCCAGTTCTTGAAACCAGGGGCAGCAGGCTCAGAATTCCAACCCAGTGCATGATCTGTAGGTATTCAGGTCACCAAGAGAGACACGGCTCACATAGGCACTGGATAGAAGAACATTTTACCATATAGAGCAGGCTCAGAGCTATTGAGGGCCACCTTGATGACTCTCCTGAACAGAGAGAAATTATCTCTGCCTTGGCTAAACCTGGCCCTATCTCTATGTTCTGGTAGGAACAGAGCTGGATTGGCCATTTCTTTTTTCCTTCAATTGGCTTTAAGCAATGTAAATAGGGCTAGCTGAGGAGCTGATACGTAATCTTTGAAGCTAGGCAACAGTCGCTATTTCCCTAGCCCATGACTCCCATCAAAACATGGTTGAACTGGGCAGGATGAAGAACCACCACTGTCAACTGGGATGAGTCTCAAGAGGCTATGACTTCCTGGGGCAGAAGGGTTTGCACATCAGAGCTGAAGTACTTTCCCCCTAAACATTAAATGCTATATCAATTATGTTTTGCAAATTAGTCTTTCTGCATATCCTTCTCTGTATATTACAGAAGTTCTTTCAGGTCTCTTACATAACCCAGTTTACAGTACTCACATATCTCCCACCATTCTTACAGTCACTCATCCTCAAGCCACTCCCTTCTTCATGAATTAATAAAATCTGAGTTGGGCCCTGAGTTGCAGCCTTTGTTCTGGTGAACCTTCATCCTGGCTGGATTTAGGACCACTTTGGCTTCCTATAACTTTAAATATGTCTTAGTGTCTTTATTTTCACCTTGGGTTGCACTGGAAGTGGTGGATTAGAATTGACTCACTAGAATTTCAATAACATTTCCATGGGATTACAAATATAAGCTTCCTGGACTGAGACAAGGCCCAGTAAGGGCTCTCTATACAGAACCAAAGCAGCTTTGATTGTGAATGTTCATTCCCAGGGCCATGAGGTGTACAACCAACTGTAGATAACCTGTTCCTGCCCTGCTAGAAACAGCTAGGGCCAGGGTTGGTGTCATGGTTTATGTCAGGGGCCCCCAATCCTCATGCAGTTTTGTGTTTTGATTGGTTCATTGTCTGGCACTCAGATTGGTGGTGTGAGTGCTACACCCGCCTAGAGGTGGAGCCAGGATGTGATGTAATAGTGGGAAGAAGGTGTGTCTGTCTCTCTTGCTGGTTTCTTTTTTTCTGCTTGCAGCAGCTATGAATGGCAGCACTGCCAGGCCACACTGCCTTGGAGCCAACTGAGTATGGGCTGAAACCTCCATAAACTGTAAGAAATATACCTTTCCTTCCTTAATTTTGGGCAATAGGTATTTTGTCTCAGTGATAAGTAAAAAGTAACTAAGACAGTTGGCCAACAAAACAGAGCAATGATATACACAGCAGCCCTGGAACAGGGACAGAGAATCTCCAACAGGGCACTGGGCCCTGCACTGTGAGGTTTCTTGCTTCATTTCTATGCTAGGAGATGGTCACCAGTAGCACATTCTTAAGCACCCATGCAAATTATATTTTGTGTATACAGCTCAGTTCTGCAAATATTGAGGAATGAAGTGGCGAACCAAAGGAGGAGGTTTGGAGAAGAAAAATTCTCTTCATTGGTCTCCTGATCTAGTGCTAATTATTGATAAACGGTGTAGGAATTGCTCCGTTGTTTGGTAGCCCCCTATCACAGGTGGCTCTGTGGATTTAAAATGACCAATTGGGAACCAGGATTTTCACTCAATTCTTCAACACGTAGGGTTTATAGGGAATTGGGGCCTTAGAAGAAACTGGTAAATTTGCATTATAATTTCCTCCAAATTCAGGAACTTAGTAAGGAGTGGCTGCACCTCCATTTTATAGAAGGCACGCTGCATTCCGTGCTGCCTGAGAAAGTTCATTTTTTCATTCAGAGTCCCACTTCACTATCTATTCTTAATTCTTGTCAATATGGTTGATCATCCCACTCTGTCTCAGGCTCTTCACCCAGCTAACTGCTTTGCTCATAAGCTAGCTAAACTATCTTCTACATGAGGGTCAGTTGGCTGTGCATAATGGTCTTTCTCAATGGATGCTTCTTATTCTAGGATCCTTGGGTCACAGGAGCCAAGGTCAATAGCTGGGACTGTGTTAGCCAGGTGGAAGCTCTGCCGCACAGATCTATGTCAGGTCTGTAATCTGAATCTCACAGCTAAATTCACTCCCGGGCAACAGTCATTAACAGAACAACCTCAAACAGGTAAGAAGAAAGCAGACCTTTGCTCACAGGGCAATGGTCAGTCTTAGTGGACCAACATCATTCACACCTTGTTGATTTACAATTAAGTACAGTGGCATTTAAGATACTATGAGTCCATTTTACTATTTTATATTTAGAAATCTTTATGTTTGAAATTATGTGTTTACTTGCTCTATTTTGGAGTAGTTTTATAGAGTGGTGATCTAACTTATCCTCCTAAGAATTTCACAAGAGCAGAGATGGCCTTAGAACAATGAGGGAGATATTATATGTATTGTGGTTTTAAGCTTATTTAAAATTAGAATTACTATTAGAATTACTTAAGAACTGGGGAGGTTGTCAGACAACTGGGGTAATTAAAATTCATGTACACAATTTTGAATGTGTGAAGGTTTTTAATTAAAGTGTGTGAATAGTAATAAACGTTATGCAGAGGCCCTCTTGGGAGCAATTGTTAGTATTTCTAGACTCATAAGTAGAAGGCTAAGAAATACTGTACACATTAAACTTAGTGGCTAGAGGAAGAGCTAGAATTCTGAAATGATAACTTCTATAAATTAGGTATTAACTTGATTAGTTAAAGTCAACCTGGGAAGGAGTTAGGTGTGCAGAGGCCTGGGGGTGCCTGTTTATTGTGGCTTCCTACCCTAACTCTTTCATTCTTCTGTATTGATACCTGTTACCTATTTTTTTTAATTTTAAAAAGAATAAACCAAACCAAACCAAACCAAAACAAAACATAAAATAAAAAGATCACGTAAAACAATGCAAATAACACAGGACTTCAAACCAAGACAACAGGAAATCAACAGTGGCTATCATAATGTCTCTTGTCTTCTTCAAAATAGTTGTCTATATTTTAGCACACAATAAGTTAATACAAGACAAAATAGTATAAAAGCAATCAAAACAAAAGAATGAGAATGTCACAGGTCTTCAAAACGAAATAATAGGAAATCAATAATGGTTACTGTATTATTTCTTGTTTTCTTCAAAGTAGCTCTCTATACCTTCACACATATTGAAATCAAATGATTGAAAACAGACTAAAACCAATCAAAACCAAGAATAAAAGCATTATTAGACTTCAATGATGGAAAATCAGCAATGGCTACCATGATATCTCATTTTCTTCACTGCAGTTGTTCATACCATCACACATACTAAACTCTTTAGGTGAAGCTCTAAGGCATGTGCAAGCCTATACGTATATATGTATCCTTTCTCTATTAGAGGGAAAAATAAAGCAAAACACAACAAAATATGAGAAAAATAAGAAACAAGAGTCAAGTAAATAACTGTAACAAAAACCCCAAAACAACAACAATGTGGGCTTTCAAAACAAGGTGGTAGGAACATAACTAATTTTGTTGTTTTGCATAACTAGCTTCAAAAGTCTTACTCAAATTACCAGATACAGTCATGCTGTATTTATCTAACCTTACAGATGTCAACTGCTTTTTTCCAAGAACTAATAGAATTAGTAGTATAATCATCTTAGTAATCATAAGTGTATACACACAAATTTATATCTTTTTTCTTTTCTTTTCTCGCTTTTCCCCTTTTCCCTGTGTGAGTTACTTTTTCCTTTTTGAGCAATTTCTCACCCTTTCACAATATTTATTGAATATTTTGTATCTTATTTACTTTTTCAGTTCCTTACACTAGGAAAACAATATGGTATTAACACATACGAGTTTGATTTACTTCAGTTATGATTACGGTCTCAAGTCACATCCATTTACCTATAAAAGCCTCAATGTGGTCCTTTTTATAGCTGAGTAGTCCTCCATTGTATAAATATATCACATCTTTTTAAACCATTCTTCAGTTGATACACACTTAGGTTGTTTCCAAAATTTGGCTGTTACAAATTGTGCTGCTATAAACATGGGTGCACATATATCACTGTGATATGATGTTTTCATTTCTTCTGGGATTATGCCCAGAAGTGAAATACCTGGGTCAAATGGGGCCTCCAATCCCAGCTTTTTGAGGAATCTCCAGACTGACTTCCACAAGTGGTTGCACCAGTCTGCACTCCCACCAACAGTGCAGAAGTGTTCCTTTCTCCCCACAGCCTCTCCAGCATTTCTTACTAGTGTTTTTATTGATCCTGGCCATTCTTTCTGGGGTGAGATGGAATCTCAGTGTTTTTCTTTTTAATTTGCATTTATCTAATGACCAATAAGACTGAATATTTTTAATGTATTTATTTGCCATTTATATTTCTTCATCTGAGAAGTGCATATTCATCTCAGGTGTCTATTTTTGAATTGGGTCTTTGAATTTTATGGGTTTGATTTTTAAAAATTCTTTATATGTTCTAGATAGAAATGGTTTGTCTGAAGGATAGTTGACTAAGATTTTTTCCCAATTTGTGGGTTTTCTTTTCATTTTGTTGGAGATTTCTTTTGAGATGCAAAAAATTTTTAGTAATATGAGATCCCCATTGTTGATTCTGGGAAGTATTTTCTGTGCAGTTTGATTTTTGTTCATGAATTCTCTGTCGAACTCTATATCTTCAAGATTTCTACCTACTTTGTCCGTCAGCATATTTAGCGTTTCTGTTTTAATATTTAGATCTTTAATACACTTTGACTTTAGTTTAGTGCATGGTGTTAGACATGGGTCTAGTTTTAGTTTTTGACATATGGAAAGCCAGTTTTTCCAGCATCGCTATTTAAAGAGACTATCTTTCTTCCAATGAACATATTTGGCCCCTTTGTCAAAGATAAGGTGGCTCAATGTGTTTGTGGCTGTAGTATCAGGTCTGTTTTTATCCTATTACCATGGCAATTTTATCACAGTAGCTTTGCAGTATAATTTCAAGTCAGAGATTGTGATTCCTCCTGCCTTGCCATTGTTGCCTGGAATTGCCTTTGCTATTCTACGTCTCTTCTGTTCCCAAATTAGGAGTGATTTCTCTAGATCTACGAGGTATGCTAGTGATATTTTAATTGGAATTGCATTATATATGTGTAACCATTTTGGGAGAATGGTCATTTTCACAATGTTTGTTCTTCCTGTTCATGAACAAGGAATGTCTTTGCATTTTGAGATCCTCTTCAATTTCTTTTTTCAGAGTAACTTTACTGACTAGATCTTTTACTTTCTTTTTTAGATTGATTGCTAAGTATTTTTTTTTTTTGGATGCTATTGTGAAGGGTATGGTTTCTCTTATTTCTCCACGAGTTTGTTGTTTGTGTACAGGAATGCTATCGATTTTTGAATGTTGACTTTATATCCAGCTAGAGTATTGAATTTGGCTATTATATTTAGAAGCCTTTCAATGGACTTTTGGGGGTCTTCTATGTAGCTGTATCATTACATTTATCATTTCTTCTTTTATCTGGGAGATTATTTCTGATTTGAGTTCCTTTGCAGCTTCATGGAGTTGTTTCTTTACTTCAGTTGCTATCATTTCAGAAGTTTCAGGTATATGGCTTACATTTTCTTCTATGATGGACTGGAGGTTTGTAATTGCATTTTGCTCTTTCATTTTGTATTTTCCTGTATTCTTTTGGGGTAGTTGAATGCAAAGTCTCAGTTGCTTCTTGAATTGAAGATTGTTATCTCTTCCATACCAAGAGATGGCTGTCTTTGCTGCATTTCCCAGTTGAGTGGGGGATGTTAGGCAGTCCTTACCAGATTCCTAGTGGCACTCAAAGGCTGCCCAAATGGGGGTGGGTGCACTGCGTAGACCTTCCGTACATCCCACATAGCTCACCAAAGCTTCCTGGCTGTTTGAGGTTACTGGGCTGGGCCCCACCAGGTTCTAAGTGGCATAGTAAGGCTGAATGGTATGTGGAGTACACTGGGTGGGCCTTCAGCTCACACCACGTGGTGCACCAAAGCTCCCTGGCTTCGTGGGGTCACTGGGCAGGGCCCATCCAGGATCCCAGTGATGACCCAAAGGTCCTGGAGTATTTGGGGATTCTGGGCAGAGCCCCACCATGTTCTGAGCAAAGTCCCGCTGCTGCACAGCTAGCTAGGGGTTGCTGTGGTGGTCTTCAGGTTGCACTGATCCCCTGCTACCTATTTGTCTTGCTGTGGCAGTTTAGTTATTACACCAGTGAGATGATACTCTTAGTAGCCTAAAGATAAAGGTGCAGAGTTAAGCTTACAAATGTAAAAGAAAACACAAAAACAAAAGATAAAAGGTTACGATAAGCACAGAGAGACACAGACCTTTCCTCCCAGGAAGAAATGTTCTTTTAAATATGCTAACACTCCCTGACAGCTCCCCATAACCTCTTAACCAAACTTCAAGAAACATTAAAGCAGGAAGATAACTGGTTTCCTTCAAAGGCTAATTGGAAAATTAGCCTTTTCCTATACTCTGTTTATTCATATAAGAGCAGGACAAAGAGCACAATTTGGACATTGCTTTGGAGTCCCCTCCTAAAGTGTCAAGATCCGGTACCTATTCTTATTTCCAATAAATACTTTCCTAGCTCCCTTTGTTTTGGTTCATAATTTTATTCTTTGATTTAGTGAGACTTTGAACTCTCTTTATACAGAATTAAACTTAACAGTTCACCCCAAGTGTCATGCGGGCAGATGTCATTTCAATCAGTTGATTCTTGAGAAAATTTGAAGAATTGTAATTTTTAAAAATTTTGAAGGTAGTGAAATACAACAGAACAAGACAGAACAGAGCCAGCTGAGACAGTACAGTGAAACTGGTACAGAAGTCATAACAGGTTTCCAGGAGAACAGTAATAGGTGCCATAGTAGAATTGTTGTTTTTGTATTTCCTGCTATATTATTTCATAAAAATTAATATGATTAATAAAAACTATGCAATTTTTGGTCATCCTATATTTAAATAATTGGACTATTAAGTGGTTAACTGTTTTACTGCCTTGAGGAATGCAGAATGCTCCTGTTTTAACAGTGCACATATTTTGGGTCATGAATGTCCCAATTCTCCATTCTCTGCTGCTTCAGGTGAGGGTTACCAGCCTAAAGCAAATGATGAAAACCTTAAGGGTGAGGAGTTGCTTCCTTATCTTATGTCTCTGGGAGCGAAAGCTTACTATTATTTAGGTTCCTCAGATTCTCGGGGTGCTGAGCCTCAGGACAGCCTGTAACCCTACCTTTGGTTGGAGGAGTGTGAATCTCCTTTGCCTGTTCCATGCTTGAATTTGGATTTTTGCTGTGGTAAATTAAGAAACAGCTTGCCTTGAACGTCAGCATGGAGGACAGCTGCAAACCATTGATTTGTTGTGACTGCAGATGTCACCACTCTCAGATCTGAGCCATGTGGCCTTAGAGAAGGGAGCGTGTGCTCCCTGCCATGACAGAGTTGGTGCAGTCTGTCCCCGGGAGAGTGCAAAGCAGCTTGATTTTCCATTTCTGACTGCTTTCAAAAGCTCTTACATTGTCCCACCACCTAAATGGACAGGTGACTGCTCAGCTTTTGCTTATTTATTTTATAGGATTTCCATTCTCTTTATTAATTCTTACTACAGCAATAGAGGATGGGGGGTAAGTTGGAGACTCCTAGGAGGGTAATTTAACAGAATATATTAAGTTGAGGTAAGAGAGAAAAAAAGTCAAAAAAAGTCAAATTGGAATTTTAAAATGGTACTTTTAAGAAAAACTGCTGCCTCAGATAGGAAGCAGCATAGTGGTGGGCAGTGGATTTCAGCTTCAAACTCAGGGGAGGTGCGCTCCCTGCTTTCAGACAGAGCCCCACATGGGTGGCCTGTCAGGCAGTAGGGACACACATCCTAGATCGCCCTGAAGATGCCCCAAAGGTCCATAATATACTCAGCTCCAGATCACAGCATGTTTCTCTCTCTTGAGAGCCTGCACTCTATTTCTGCAAGTGTATACTTTTAAATCTCTGCCTAATGGGATACCTTATACCTCTTAGGGACACATCCTGAAACTTCTTTTTCCAAGATGGGAGTAAGCAAACCTGCAATTCAATTTTCAGGGTGGGTTGGGTTTAGGTCCTTACCTGGGTATGAGCCTTTTGGGTGACTGTGTTTTATTCTAATGCTAAAGAAAAAATATAGAACAAGGTGAGCAAATGGAAGTTGATTTTACCCCTAGCACTAAGAGTGGTAAAGCTTATCCAATACCAGCTGTGGCTGCTAATTGGCTTCATCTAGTGGAAAAATCAATTTTGCTTAAACTTTTCGATAGCAGGTACTTTTGCCACTCTGAGTACTGACTCCCAGAGAGACTGGGGGAGAGTGGCCCTTTCTTGTTTGATGGCTGCATCTCCAAGGGATGGCTCTCAAGTCTCTAAGAAATTCAGCCCTGGCTTATCAAACTGGCAAGAGGCTTTTTAAAAATTTGCATCTCAAAGGAACAGAGAGAGAAAACATTGGCAATTAGAAGGTTTCTGCAGTAGAAGTTCTCAGTGAGGAAAGTCAGGGCCACAGACAGGAAATTTCTGTCTGAAGCTAAGTCCCACTGGCGGACCTGGGAGAGTGGCCTAGGAAGGTGGTTTTGAGTTAGGATGGATAAAAAAGAGAGAGATGAAAAGGAGGCAAGGGAAAATGTAATGTTTAAATTGTACTTTTTAAGAAAAATTGCAACCACAGGACATAGAAGTTATTCAGCCTTTTCTTCCCTCTGCAGGAACATTGCTGAAGGCCCTGATGGCAGTCGGCCTGGTGTGCTGTGCCTTTCTCCTGTGCGTGGTGTTCCTTCCACCCCTCTGTCCTCCGGAAGCCATTATCCAGAGGACAGCAGAGCTCGGTTCCCAGCACAGGGAAATTGTTTGCATTTAACATGGCCCCTAAATGGGCAAAATCCTATTAACACTAGAATACACATTTTAGATAATCCATTTTAGGAATATCCTCAAAGCCCACAGGTTACCCAGCTGTAGGCCACAAGAAGACCATTATCAGTCACTTAGTTCATATGCTCAGGTTCCCTTGCTCGCCACTGATCAAATTAGAGGAAGAAATTTATTTTGGGAGAGAGAAAAATGGATTTATTTAAAGATAGCTCTGAGAAGATGGAGGGACCCATTGGTCCAAATCACAATTGCAGCTTGTACAGGTGGGCAAGGGCCTTTACAGTAAGGAACAGAGGACTTGGGGGCACAGAGGGTCAGTGCAGAGCTCATACTTGCTTTATCACTTCTGGCTATCTTTAGCTCCTGGTTCTCTTTCCAGTAGAAGTGAAACTGGGCTCCAATGAGGTAGTGAAATAGGGGAATGAAACTCCTGATCTACTCTATGTCCAGAACAAGTCCATGTTCTCTAAAATCAAAGAATGAACTTTAGGAACAACAGAGGTTAAGGGCAGAAATATTTATTGTGGGAAAGAAAACTTCTGAGAGAGACAGAAGGAGTCCCAAGTGGGTTGCCAAAGATTCTATATTTTTGAGGATTTTTACAGAGTAAAACCATGAGATGAGGTGGGTCTAATAGCTCAGACAGAATTGATTAAATTGGGAACAAATGAGAAGGCAAGTCTTGTAGAAAGTGGGCATTCTTAGAGAGCAGTGACTCCTCTATAGGGGATTGGGATGGTGACTCCTAGTTTCTCAGTGTGATCCAGATTTAATCCTTAAGGATTATACTTAAGGGTGTGGTTGCATTTGTTCTGTTTTGAGATCTGGCCCACAGCAAGAGTTGTGTGTCTCCTCCAAGCACATCCGGTGTCTGTGCCAGCTTCTTCGAGGGCCTACCTCAGTCTTACGGCCTATAATATATCCAACTAGCTCAGTGTCCTGTAACAGAAGAAATTGAAACTAGATAAAACGAAGACAAAGACATTGAGATTTTTAAAATTAGACTTAACTTTCCCTAGCACAGCTTTTGCCCGCTGATCTTTGCCTCTGTCCTCTCTTACTTTTCTCTCTGCCTGTGTTGTGGCCATAATGAAAACACCTCCTCTTAAGGAAGGAGATCAGGGCTGTGGCAAAGTGCATAAACAACTGGGCAGGATGTGTCAAAGTTCAGAAAAACTCTGAGGGCATGCAGAGAACCCAGGATCCACAATGACGCCATGTCTCTTTAGCACTGTACCCAGAACCAATCAGAGGGCGGTTTCTTCAATCTTTCTTTTGAATCTGGTGCTGTCTGCAGGGCCAATCAGAAATGTGCTATTTTCAGTCCTTCATTTACATATGGCAGGAAGTCAATTGAGTCTTTCCATGGGAAAGTGTAAATAGGCACTAGCCCAAATATGACTGTCCCATGATGGGGGAAGCCAATTTAGGAACTCACAATTATCCATGCTCACTGCCTTTGCTGTATGTCTTGTCCAGTTCTTTGTTCAGGACATCAAGGAGCTGGGCAGAACCAGCCCTGAGTCCCTTCTTTTATGCTCAGCTTGGTGCCTCAGGGTCTGGGATCTTGTGAGCCATGGGTCTGCTGTATGTTAGGGGGAGAGCAGAGCGAGGCTACAGGGTTGCTGAGAGGAGGGGTGTCACTGGCTATGTAGGTCCTTATTTTAGTAGAAATGGAAATTAAAACTAAAGCAGAAATTTACTAAAAATATACTTTAATTGAAAAATTAGAGGCATGATATAAAAGGAGGCTTGAGAGAGCAGTCTCTGATGCAGAGGTTCAGGCTGCCCACCAACAAACGTGAGAGGCCAGAGCTCAAGGGCCAGCTGGTGGCTGGTGTCCAGAGCTGGGGGACACCAGAACTGAAATCATGTGTATTGTGGCTTTGTCTTTCCTGGAATCCAGGTGACCAGGATTTGGGACAATGGCTAGAGGCTTCTGGCTGTTGCTGAAAGTCCTGGGAATCCTCTCACCTTGGTGTCCTCAGTACTACAGGCGGATGAGATTTGTAAATTCAGGGCTACCATCTGAAAGCTCCTAGACGGGCACTCCCTGAGTGATTGCACAGGTCCACACAGAGCAAAAGAGATTAGATTCGAGATTTACAGCAACAGAGGACACCCAATGAAGGTCAAGCTTTCATTTTTCTTTTTTACTTGCCTGTGGGAAATCTGTAGGCCAAGTGGAGCCATTTTTAGAGCAAAAATGGCTTATTTTTGCTGGCTGTCCCAGGAGTAAACATAAGTCAGCTTTTAATGAGCAGCAGTAATAGTCCCTGTATCATGACTGCATCAGATCACAGCTTCCGTGTGTGTCTGGAGCTCTCCAGCCTGCCACCCTCAGGAACTCTCAGCACCGTCTGGCCCTGGCAGTCTCAAGCACCAGCTCACTCCTCACCCGACTCAGGAAAGGCAAGAAGTGAAACTGTTAGGACAGAGCTACCATTTCGAATGCTGGATTTTATTGTTCCATAAGTCAGCTCCAGATCTCAACAGAGAGCCTGGCATGGTTCCTCTGAGTTTCTGCTCAAGATCCCGCCTCTGTCACAGTTTGTATGACCATATGGTCAGTGTGTCCACCATAGGAAAGAGGATATCTACTTCTGGCACCGAGATGCCCTAGTGCTGCTCCTGAGTACCCACTGGTCAGAAATTGTGTGTGTGTTTTGACGCTTCTACCCACAGCCAAATATTTTCTTTGTTAAGCTAAATTCATTCTATAAAATTGTGCTCCAACAAGATTAAGTAGGCAAGTGTTAACAACCTTTTATACTTGGCCAGGTTCAACGTGTGTGTCACAGACTCACAGCTCGAAATGGAGCAAGCTTGCCTTCAGCAGATAAACCACTGAGTAGGATACGCAGGGCCTGAACTCACACTACACTAGTTTTTACGCTGTTAGTGGGTATGTTTGGCAGCTCTGCTCTATGTGTAATTCTCTCTGTCCACCCCTGGAAATGCTGTTCTATTCTGATTAGTTGGCGAACAACTAAACTCTCTTGTTTCTGGGTTATTGAAAAACTAGATATGAATTAAGACTGGTTTAGGTAAAATATAATCTCTTTCCTGTCATATCAAAGTGTGCATTCTCAGACATGTTTCTATGATTTCCTTTGTTTCTTGTCTATCAAAGTAAAATGGTTGCTACTTCACTGTAAAATGTTTTGATCTTTTTAGCGAATGGTTCCATGCAACTCTCTAGAAGTATTTTTTTTAAATGTGAGATTCAGTAATGGTTTTCTGACATCTGAAAAGAGACTTATGAGTCTGAAAAAGAGGAAAGTTAAAAATGAAAAATACTGCTTTGTAGTCCAACGACAGAAGAGTTATTGATGATTTTTCCCTGGAGAAACATTTGGAAAATGGTACCAGCCAAGAGGTATGTATATCAACACTTAGACTGAAATGGATGTTAAAAACTAATCAGTGGCTTTGCAAATGAGAAAGGACATTTTTAGATGGAATGAAAATCTTGTAAATGGGATCCAGATTCCAAAGTGTGCAGCACCCTGGTAGAAAGGGCGAGAAGTGTATGGTTCTCCTGGACCCAGGCCCTGTCTCCCACCAGAGGCTGTGGGAGCCCAGGAAAGTGGCTTAGCTTCGTGAGCCCGATGCTGCTGTATACTTAATGAGGGTAATGTTGTGAGGATGAGGGTCATTCACACAAAGCACCTGGTAGGAAGTCTGATTCACAGTGGCATTCAGTAGTGGAGTTAGGTGGGATTACAATATCACCATAAGACATGGCTGGGAGGGTGCAAAAGAAATGCAGGAAGTAATCTAAACTTTATACAAGAATCAATTAAGAAAGAAGCTTAAAGAATAATCACACCAAGAATCCTGGGGAGGTGGTGGGGAGAAATCACTGCTATGAATTTTAAACATATGAATAACAAGTAGAAGTTACACATTTCTTACTATTTAACAAAATGTATAGTATTAATTAAGGCAGTGAAGCAGCCTAATTTCAATATAGAAAAGAATTTTAGTCTTTATGGAAAGCATTTGAAAACCAAAATTAACCTTGGGTTTGATCCCCAGCACTGCATTAAACAAATAGTTTGTATATCTCAGTTTTGTCAGGCATGGTGGTACACACCTGTAATCCAAGCCCTTGCCAGGCTGAGGCAGGAGGATTGCTGTGAGTTCAAGGCCTTCTAGGACTACATAGAGAATTCAAGGGCAGCCTGAATGACATAGTCAAACCGTACATAAATAAATAAATAGCAAAATTAAGAGCAATGACAAAAAGAATGTGAAAAATAAACAGATATTAAACTACAATAGGTACCCGTGGTAAGAATTTGATGAAGTTAAAGGATAGGACTAAGTAATGAAATTTCCCTCTGCATATCTGTTAGTCTCTATTTGCCTTCTTCCCCAAGTGTCATGGGACCTGAATGAGAGCAGTGATTTAATTAAGTCTCAGTACACAGTGCTATTCTTCTCTTAAAGAATATGAATTATAAGGCTGAATAACCAGTGCATTCAAACTCTTTGGTTGACCCAGTTCTTTTAAACTTACTTCTAAAACTCTTGGGCAGCCTGATTTTGTTTTTTATTTTAAAGAGAACAAAAAATTTAAAAAAATCAAAACAAGGTAGGAGAGTAATAACAGTTAATACACTGTATACTGTTATCTTTAAATTAGTTACTCAGAGTACAAGATATACGCATTGAATTGTACAAGCAATATTGGCATGAACTTTTCAAAGAACTAGGAAAAATTAGTAGCACTTAACTATAATATTAGTAGTCTATCTATCATCTATCTATCTATCATCTCTTGCCTTTCCTTTGCTTCTTTTCTCCTTTCATCCCAGTTTCTCTTTCCTTTTGAACAGTTTCTTCCCATTTTACAGTATCTATTATACATCTTGGATCTTATTTAATCTTTCAGCTTCTCACACTAGAGGACAATATGATGTTTACACATGTGAATTTGGTTTATTTGACTTATGAGTCTGGTCTGGAGTTGCATCCACTTACCTATAGAAGTCTCCAGTTTATGCTGATGTATGGCTGAATAGTACTCCATTGTATAAAAATACCACATCTTTTTGTCCTTTTCTCAATTGATAGGCATTTGGGTTGTTTGCAACATTTAGTTATCACAAATTGTGCTGCTATAAACATGAATGCACATATATTGCTGTGGTATGATGTTTTTAATTCTTCTGGGAATATAGATACCTGGAAGGGGAGAACTGGGTCAAATGGGGCCTCCAATTCTAGTTTATGAGAAACCTCCATTCTAATTTCCACAGTGGTTGCACCAGTCTACACTCCCATCAACAATGGAGAAGGGTTTCTTTTCTCCCACAGTCCTGCCAGCATTTTTTATTGGTTGATTTCTTGGTAACAGCCATTTGTTCCAGGGTGAGATGGAATCTTAGTGTTGTTTTAATTTGCCTTTCTTGATGATTATGATGTTGAAACTCTCTTCTTGTATTTATTTGCTGTTTGTATTTCCTCATCTGAGAAGTGTGTATTCATTTAAGATACCTATTTTTAGATTGGATCTTTAAATTTTGGAAGTCTGATGTTTTTGCATTCTTTATATGTTCTTGATAGCAATCCCTGGTCTGAGGAACAGCTGTCAAACATTTTTTTCCACATTATGGATTGTCTTTTCACTTTGTTGACGATTTCACTTGCTGTGCAAAAGGATTTTACTTTTAAAAAAATTTTTAAAAATTTCATTTAAAGGAAAAAACAGGAAAAAAGGTAGAAAAATACAGAATTTTGAAAAAATAAACACTAAGAAATCACCAGTTGATAAATTACATACTGTCATCTTAGAAACAATTGTTCAAGTTACAAAATTAAAGCATACAAAGTGGACATTCAAACAGTGAGACTGAAAACAGTTCTACTAAATGATCCAACAAAAACTTAGTAATATGGTTATCAATCCTACACACTTAAACATACATGCAGTTAGAGCACTTTCTTTTCTCCTCTTTTTATAATAGCAATTACACATTTTGGGTTTTATTATTCCTAAAGTTATTACTTTTTATACTAGAGACACAATGCGATATTTATAAATATGATTTTTATTTATTTCACTAATGAGGATAGACTCAAGTTGCCTCCATTTACCTATGAAGGCCTCAAAATCATCCTTTTTTTATAGCTGAGCAATCTATCTATCTATCTATCTATCTATCTATCTATCTATCTATCTACCTATCTAAATACCACATCTTTTTCATCCACCTATGGCCTACTTTTGGAGGGGGCTTTGTTATTGTTCTGGCTTACTCACTGAAGGTAGCAAACTCTATTCCTATTTTAGGGGCAAATTCACCTCACTGATGGAAGCCTGCTGAATTCTTCTTACTGAGCCTCCCCTCGATACTGCATGGTTCATCCACTACAGTCCAAAGTTCTGGGGGAAGGTGTGGGAGCTGAAGTTCAACAGGATTGCTAGGTCTTGAAGGAGGAGGAGTCCCCAATGACAGTGGTGGGACTATGGGAGCATGCATCAAGGGCTGGATTTCCTAGGTCCTGAGGTGGATATGGAGACATGGGAGGGGTCTGGTTTTGGCTTGGCCCACCCATGCTGCTGGCTGGAGTTTCTGGGTCCTGTGAGGTGGTCTGCCCAGACACTGGGGATCACGGGAGGGGCCTGGGTCTAACCTGGCCCTGCATGCACCACTGGCTGCAGTTCCCAGTCCCTTGAGATGGTCCGCTGGGATGGTGGGTGTTGCAGGAGGGGCATGGCCCCATGTGTGCCTCTGGCTAGAGTTCCTGGGTCCTGAGGAGCCATCTGCCGGGACACCAGGAGTTGTGAGTGGAGAAGCATTTAGTAAGATCAGATCCCAGTTGTTGATTCTTTGTGATAGTTATTGTGTAGTTGGAGTTTTGTTAATAAAGTCTTTGCTACAACAGTGTCTTCAAGAGTTTTACCTGTTCTGTCTTCCAGCAGATTTAATGTTTCTGTTTTAATATTTAGATCTTTGATCCATTTCAAATTTAGTTTAATGCATGGTGAAAGATATAGGTTCAATTTTAATCTTTAGAATGTGCAAATCCAGTTTTCCTACATCATTTATTAAAGAGGTTTTCTTCCAGGGAATGTGCTTGGCACTTTTGTCAAAGACAAGGTAGCTGAGTATGTATGGAGTTGTTTCTGCATCTTTGAATCTGTTTGATTAATCTTTGGGTCTGTTTTCTTAGGACCACTTCATTGCATTCCATAAGTTCCAATATGTTGTATTGTCATCGCCATATTTAAATTTTTTTTTATTTTAAATAGATTAAGACAAAAGAGGACAGAACAAACGAGATCAGAACACAACAATTTAAGCAACACAGTATTTCACCACAAGGCAGCCCGATATAATACTAGCTACCATAATGTCTCTTTATTTGAAATAGTTGAGCATACCTTCATATACAATGGTATCAAACATAACAAAATAGTATAAAACCTTTGAAGAGAATGAAAGTATTACAGAGCATTCAGAACCAAATAACAGAAATGAACAATGGCTACTATATTATCTCACTGTCCATAAAAATTTTGTTTATATTATCACATATAATAAATTCCAATAAGATACAACATGATAGAACCAATGGAAACAGAAGAACAAGAGCATGGTAGGACTTCAAAACAAGATGATATTAAAGCAGCACTGGCTATTATACTGTCTTGTTTTCTTCAAAATAGCTGTTCATACCATCACAGATAATAAAATCAAACAAAGTAGGATAAAATCATTCCAACTAACGAATGAAAACATTATAAGAGAGTAATGCAATGGGGAATCATGATTACCATAAACTCTTATGTACTCTTACCATTTCTTACACCAGGGAGACTATACAGTATTTATACATGTGAATTTGATTTATTTCGCTTATGAGTATGATCTCAGGTTGCATCCATTTATTTATAAATATCTCAATGTGATCATTCTTTGTATTAAAATATCACAAGTTTTTTTATCCATTCCTCAGTTGATGGACACTTAGGTGGTTTCCAAGATCTGGCTATTACACATTGTGCTGCTCTAAACACAGGTGCACATATATCACTGTTGTATGATGTTTTCAGTTCTTCTGGGAATATGCCTAGAAGTGGAATAGCTGGATCAAATGGGACTTCAAATGCCAGCTTTTTGAGGAATCTCCAGTCTGACTGGTTGCACCAGTTTACACTTCCACCAACAGTGCAGGAGAGTTCCTTTTTCCCCAAAGCCTCTCCAGCATTGGTTGTTGGTAGTTTTCTTGATCCTGGCCATTCTTTCTAGAGTGAGACAGAATCTCAGTGTGGTTTAAATTTGCATTTCTCTAATGAGTAATGATGATAACATTTTTTCATGTATTTATTTGCCATTTGTATTTCTTCATCTGAGAACTGTGTGTTCATGTCAGATGCCCATTTTTGGATTGGGTCTTTGAATTTCAGGGGTCTGATTTTTAAAATTCTTTATATGTTTTAGACAGAAGTCCTTTGTCTGAGGGACAGTTCACTAAGATTTTTTTCCCCAGTTTGTGGGTTTTCTTTTCACTTTGTTGGAGATTGTCTTTTGACATGCAGAAAGTTTTTAATAAGACGTGATCCTGGGTTTTGGTTCTGGGAAGTATTTTACATGCAG